TGGTCGGATTTACTCTTAATGACTTGAAACAGTGCATTGTATATAACAGTCTCCAAATCATAATGATATTTCTATGGTCGTTCACTAACCGTGAAGTCTGGTTGATATGGTCTACCCGCACGAGAAAGTCGTGAAAATGGCAATATACTGCATCTTAAAGATAAAAACATTTAAGATATTAGGGAATAATTGCTGGACCCTGGATTGTATGCGATAAAAGGAACTGTGAGGTAGTCTACTATCGTTTTAAAATAACAGCAATATCGCTGTCATCTCTACAGCATTTCTTGTTGTAAAACATTATTGATTGTACATTATGTAATTCAACTCTTTGTTATAGAGTTAATCATGCCTGGACACCATAAAACTTATTTCTTTATATTTAAATACAGTCAAACTTCGAACATTACGGGACCATCGTGACAAATTCAAAACATCAGACTTCGACTCATGAATATTGCACATCGAATATCTAAATCATTCACATAAGGCAAATTGTGATTCTTTTGTAACGTAACACAAGCTAAGAAATTTAATTTGAAAGTATAAATATACCTTTACAGAAACAACAATAGCACTTTTATTAATACACTCATAGTATGCATTATGATCTTATCAAATTCAAACATTTCTTTGTTTGTCAGAGAAAAGATTATATGACAATCAACTTAATTAACATTCACACACTTAATTTAATAACTCATGAACCAATAAACGTACAGCTCATTGTCCCATTGTCCTAGACGTAAAATCCGTGAAATGGGCCATTTTAGCTAACCATTTTCTCTGACATTGGCCTTTGTTAACGATTGAAAAGTACATCCGGTGAATGTATCTTACGGAATGATCAACACTAATTGACTATCACTTTGCGTCATAAATACACTGCTGTTTTAAGAAAACAATACTGAGTTAATCAGTGGCAGACTATCGCCTGTAAATAATTAATACCGGGTTGTGTAACCAAGGTCGCCAGTCCTTTTTATTGGAGACCGAAATATGTCCGTAAAGATGTTAAAACGACCGCCGGACATTGCATTGATCTCGTACAGGTAAATGTTTTGCTCCGATTTTTTAGATGTAATTTGGCCTTATTTATACTTTGAAACAGTGAGTACTCCTTGTACTTGTTGGACTGCAACTCAAGATCGATCTTTTTACTTTGTTTACAGACATAGTGCTTGAGGACAAACCATCAACGACTAGTTTCAGCAAAAGGGAGAGGACTCGCTTTTATAAGTTGATTCATCTAGACAGAAAACTGTTAATGTCTGCACGAGCTCTGCTAATACAAGCCTTATACATAACTCTCCTTGCAATAATCTGTGCACACAACTCTGTGTGGACGTCGTATTTACAGAACGAGGCTCTGGAGAAACGTCTGACTCCGATTCATAAGGTATGAATGTTGATGAAAGTGTACCTTGGACTGCAGTACTTATTGTACATACATACATGTATATCCTTTTACCGGTGTTTAAGGATCTTTTGCTTGTTTTTGACATTTGATATTCGACTTCGACCTAGTATTTTCTATTTATCCGTGTTCAATGTGTCTTTATAGAGAATACTTGAAAAAAACATCATTGTTCATGTACCACAAAAAGAAAGCAAAATATGACCTTAATAAAATGGTACGCGTTACCCATAAATATGAAAATAATTACATTTAGGTTCTTATATTTATAATGTTTGTCACACAGACATTTAATTTCAAACCCTAACTTGTTTTGTAACAGCGCTGATTTGCAAATTTCCACGTTTTTTATTAAGGAATTTTTTTCAACAATTTGAAGAAAAAAATATAGTTGGTCCATAGTAAGAACAAATGTACCACCATTACGTTCAACAACTTTAACATTTCATGATATTTTTCATCTCATAAATGTTTCGTTTTGAAAATTTGACTCCCGTTTAACTCATACATTGTTGCATATGTAAAATTGTGATTTATTGAACGCGGATGACTTCCCAATGATGAAAAAAGTAACAAGAGAGTGCAGTTGTATTAAGGACATGTTTTTGTATCACAGATCAATAAGACCGACGATGTTTGGGCGTGGTTTCGCGGACGATTTTCTGATGCTGTTTATCCAAAACTGTTTTACAATGGTGATGTAAGGCTGGATGAAGCAAGGTCTTTCATGAACGACGACGTCAGCTACCGTATTGGTTTGGCCAGGATTCGTCAAATTCGAGTAAAAGGTAGGTTTGATATGCTAATATAGGTTTTGCCGAGAAACTAAAGATGTGACTCAACTTTCCCTAAGATAATTTTGTCTTTTAATTTTATCAATGTGCTTATTTGGTAATAAATTATTACTTTCTCGGTGCTGTGATTGGAGGAATGATGCTATAATGAATGAGAAAAATTATGAATACACGGATTCGGGATATGCGCATGTATCAGGCCTAGGAAAAGGTTTTCTTATTTTTGTGTCTTTAGCAATTACAATGGTAAGAATAATCAAACATAAACCGTTTCAATCGGATTCATTTGATGTTTTTATTGAATGGCGACATTTTAACGTTACAAAAGTAATAGATTAGTCATAGCAATTAGTAGAAAAACTTTGAAAACCATGTATATTTCTGAATATAGCTGTATGACTGAATAACGACATATTAACGAGTACGAAGCACGAGTGAAAAATCGGTTTATTCTGTCATAAAATATACACGGTATCTAACGGGAAACCAATTACATTTTTTATTTAATACATTGTGAAAAGTAAACCGACAAATATTTTGTTCATCCCAAAGGTGCGGGAATACGTGTAAGTAGCGTTATATCTGACGCCAGGTTCTTATGACGTCACATTTGACAACAAGGCTGTACGCTGTTTTGAAAAGGCTACGAAACGTAATTCTACCGTTTTATGTTATTTTCTGGTAGGATTTGTTTACAAAAGATGTTATGAATCACATTAATATGTTAATAACTTAGTGTACGCGCCAAAAATTTACAAAAACAGCCATTTATTCTACCGTCGGTTCGTCTGCTCCTGTACAAAATAAAATATATCATCACATATAAAGATATGTCATTTCGTGTATCTTCACTTTGACTGTAGTGAAGATATCAGATTTTACCACACTGATAATTTCTAATAATTCACCGGTAAGAATGTAATAAAAACATATCTTAGATATAATGTACTGCTTGTGCCGAGGTAACGAAACTGTTCACGAAGTATTATACATTCACAGGAAAATGTGACATTCCTCCACTGCTCCAGAATCTAATCTCTAAATGCCCTCCAGAATATTCGGCTGACGACATGGAAAGGGCAAATTATTGCGAAGGTAACAAAAATATGGGCAAACACATTTGGCACGAGAGAAAAGTGTACTGCATGTTTAATTATGGCTTAAATACAAAAATGTATTCAGGATCAAATATAATAGCGATTTTGACATTTATGTAAGTTAACGTTGGATTTAACGTTCCCTTAACTATAATTTTAATCTATCAATCATTATTAGCACTATGCAATTGGGAATCATTTGTTTTAATTAAATAGACTACATGGTATATTTGAATTTAGGATATGTGGAATGAATTTTGCCATCATTTTTCTCTCCATAGCATTTGTTTTCTGATCTATGTTTTTATTTAATTGCCATCCCGCGAGAGTCGGTAAAATGTGACAAGTGCTATGTTTGTGGACATGCCATTGGGATTTCACAATCAAACAGAGAGCATAGCATTGCCTATGTATTCGGACGTCACAAAAAAGTCTCAAATAAAATTTAGTTCGGGCATAAACTATCACTTATGTTATGTTTTGTCCCCTTTTTGTATCCCTTGCAAGTTCGAGAGCGAGCTATTATGCTAGAAACTCACTAACAAATATTCAGTGTCGTTCATCTTTCTTCTCATCAAATGATTATTCGTTGAGTTGAAAAATATTCGTAGCAGAGTTTTATTACACGAGGAAAAATGTGAATAGACATTAGGCTGTTTCTCAATAACAACATTTTCTTGACATGTTTAAAAAATATGAATTGTGTAGGTCCATTAACACGCTTAAATTATGTTTTAACATAATTTGAAAATTACTCACGCTTCCTGTGCCGTCCGGTCCGTTCATGGATTTGATAAACTTATCAATTATTCCCTGTTTACAAAATGTATATGATATGATGTAATCCATAAACCAGGTTGGACGGCATTTAATCCGAAGAAGTGTAATGGTTCGGAATGGACGTTTAAAAATGAAGACGAGACCAATTCCCTGACTATATTCAGCAACCACGATGTCTACGGCGGCGGAGGATATGTCAAAATACTGGATCAATCCGTGAAGGAGGTCAGAAATGACCTCTATGCCATGCAAGCTTACGGATGGATAGACCTTTATACTCGACTTATCGTTGTAGAATTCGTCTTATACAATCCAGATTCGAAACTGTTTTCCTTACCTACGATAACGATTGAAATGCCACAGACAGGAGGATATTATCTGACGGTGAAGATAAAAACAGCTCGATTGTATCCCTATATAGACACGTTTGACTTCTTTGTGCTTGGATTTCAATTACTGTTCCTTATTATAACGTTTTGTAGGCTTTTGCATTTTGTTTGCATCACCTGGCAGATCGGCCGTCGCTGCTTTTCACAAATCAGTCAATGGCTGTACCTTATCAGCATAATGACGTCACTGTCAGCCATCGTTTTCTATATAGTACGCATCGACAGAACTATATATACGATAGAAGCATTATTCAACTCTAGTGGTGAGTATTGACGTGTTTCAAATATTGAAAATGAGTTCTTAGTACACATTTTACAGTTAGTATCAAGCAAACCTGTTTGTTCAATGTTTGCACTTAATTATGCACAATACTTTCAGTGATAAAATGAGAGCAGAAAGCAGGTTAACTGATTCGAATAAACTGCATTGTCTATAGTCTTGATATTTGACGTGTCACTTGATGGGGCAATGAACTCGCAACATTTTTTAAATAAATAACATTCGAATTTACTGGGGTCAAATTTATTATCATCTTACGCTCTTCTATTCGTGAATTATCAGGCCCGAATTGATAGAAAATCGAGATTTTTTATTGTAGTTTTTAAAACAAAAACAAATCAAATAAATGACATTGACTCAAAAGCGATATCATAGGGTTCAATTGAAGAAAACAATCATTATTAGTTTATTAGTATACCATTTTTTGCTCCCCTTTTCAGGTAAATTCGTGACATTTGATATCATTGATGTCATGGACTCCGCCTACAAAGTGTGTATCAGTGTAGAGTTGTTTGTGGCAGTGCTGAACCTACTGCGTCCACTGACCTTCAATTATAACATTTACCTAATGAGGACGTCTATTTCTCTTTGCGCCAAGGACTTGATGAGCTTTGGAATTTGCATTTTGGTTCCTATGAGCGGTTTTGCAATCCTTTGCTTCGTGTGCGTAGGGCCGTATCAGATGGATTTCCGGGACATATTTACCGCCTTTATTACATTGTTTCGAACATTATTGGCCATGGTCAAAATTCGGGACACGTTCGGAGAGAACGACATCGCTATCAGTTTTGGTTTCTCTGTATTCTTATTTGTGATGACCATCCTTATGGTGAACTTTTGTATCAGTATCCTTAACGACGCGTTCAGTTATGTGAAAAAGAAGAAACCAATGTCATCAGATATTGATGCGTACGACATGGAATTACACAATCATTTTTGGCGTAAAATAAATGATGCTCTGAAAATCTTTCAAAGAAAACAAAAAACGACCGATGCTATTGTTGAAGGTGAGTACAATGAAAGTGTGACAATTATATCTAAGAATCACGTGTATATATGCAAATATGTACTTGACAACTGGTGTTAATGCTGTTAAACTTAAACGCAATCAGTCCTTCATTGATAAAAAACAATCTTGAGCTTCATGTAGTTATATTTGCACTAAAATACTTTTGATGATGTTTTTTTTATTGATTTTTATCATTTTCTGTGGCAAATTCGGCGAACTTATTCTTCAGATTCTGCGATAAAAATCTTGCATTACCCTTTTCCGTGAGTACACCCAGGATAATTGGTTCAATGAGTAAAACAATCGTCAACTTACCAATTGTGTGAATTATCAAGTTGTTGATTTGGCGTTTTATAAGCAGTAAGTCATGATTCCAAAGGCTAAAACTTGTTACACCCCTTTGAAACCTGATTTGGTAATTACTTTCTGACTTTGTATGCTTGGTTGTTACTTACAGACAAGGCTGGAGTTCTGGGCCTATCAATGACTCTTGACAATCAGGTAAGTACATACTGAAAGGAGAAAACGTGTATCCCTATAAATATAGCTCATCTTAATATGAAAGTATTTTCTCTTTTCGATTTGATTTGATCGTGTGTGTTTTGTTATTATTGTTATAAAATTATTATTTGTTTATTTGTTTTATAACAACAGATATTCAGAATTGTCAGTCAAGTGGAACGCGCCTACAGAAATGAAGAAACGTTTCAGAAAAAGTACAAGTCTGTGAGTATATAATGTATTGAATATAACACAATAATGAGTTACCTTAGTTTGGTTTTTCATACGACATTGTTTCCCATAATACATCTATAAAGTTTATGAAAAATACTTAAATAAAAGTAAATTATCGATAGGGTTGCATAATGTTACGTCTGAATCAAAAACGCCTAGCATTTATTATTCATGATTATGTTTAAAACAATTGACAACAATATCGGTGTCAACACATAAGTAAACACCCGATGTTGATAAGAAAACTACTTATACCGAGAAAACATCCAATCAGATGAAAAGACATCACTTATTTGACACAACCTCAAACGTCTTTTTTTTCAATCCAGATGATGAATAAGCTTCCCAAGAAAAGTCTTGTCCTTGAATACGAAGACACATCTTTTTCGTTCCGATTTGACGACATTTCCGAAGAATCAGACAGCGATACTTATTCAAATTATTATAATTTACCGTAAGCATATGAAACTAAACTTGAAAGCGAAGTAGAAAGATCAGATGATCTTCTATCAAATGATAATCAATATCCATAGTGATACTTGTCTAATTAAATCAGCGACATCAAGTTTGATATTGAGGGCGCGAGTGACTGTGTGACTATTTTTATCATTCCCCTTTCATCTTCGACACCTGGAACATCCATTACTTGTCAAGAGAAGCGTTTTGTTCCTCACTTCCATGAGCAGATATAGCGCTTTAAAACTGGTTCAAATTTCCAACGAACCACTGTTATAACCCTTTGATTCTTGTGAGAGAGAAAAAAAAACACTTTTTTGCAATACAATAGTTTAATATGCTTCAAAGACAACCTAATTTTGCTTCAATCGCTAATAATTAAAAAGCGTCAAAGACTTGATCTACGATATATATTTAGTGTAATTAATTTCTAAGCATTTGATTTGGTGTTCTATAATTGACTCCAAAAGGTGAAAAGCAGGTGTCATCAAAAGGTCAATTTGTGTCACAGTAAAAAATATAGAAAAAAATATCACATTTGTTAGTGTCTACCAAAGGCAAGTGTGTACTTATATATACATCCCTCTACATTTTACAATATAGGCAAACCAAACTCCAGGTGAAACTACACTTAATCGTTACAGATACTCCACTTTTCAAGCAATTGACTCAGTCAATTATCACTTCGGGATTAAACAACAAGGATGTTCCATACTTCGTATTGCACGTTTTTCATGTCGTTATTTTCGTTTTTTTACTTCCGTATTGTGTGTCGGGCATTTCAAAGTCGAAGTGTTGATTTTATCAAGCACAGGGGAAATGCTAAATCATTAGCGTGGCGATGATATGACAGCAACCTGATATTGAAACAAACTGCAACGGTAAATGCAAAGATATATACTTGCTCATCGGATAACAATGTCACGAGACCAGTGGATGTTGAGAAGGCCATATATAAAGTGTGTGCAGAAAGATGTGTTTGATGTACTGGCCTCACTTGTACATGAAATAATATGTATAAACAAAGCCGATACGATTTCTGCTGTCGACCACGTGGCACTCTATCGATGAATTTATTTCACTCTTAAAGTGCACTTTCGCTGTGAAAATGCAGTGTTTTATAAAATATTGGGATACCTATGAAAATGCTCGATTATTGAAGCACGTGAGGACTAACCATTTGATAATATCTGGTTACATTTACCTGTCATACATATATTTAGGATGTACATCTCTTAGAAGTCAAACGTTTCCTGTATTAAATATTATTTTTCTCATATGCATTTTTGGAAAGGTGAGCTAATGGCATAGTGGAAAATGTAAAAAACAGTATGTGTCCGTGTGCTCGTTTGTGTACTATGATCGGTCAAAGATACCAATTTGATATGTGATTTTAAATGAATTTTGCTGTTCTGACCATTTGCAGAATTAATTCAACAAATAAATATCATATAAGTGTGTTATCAGATATGCATGAATGTTTGCAGCATTGACAAAAATAGTTTTTTTTTTTAAATTATCGAAGTTAAGTTTCTTTTACTTTTTTTTTTTAACTCAGAAAAACAATTTACGTTTTTTTATCATTTTGTTTTTGCAGATTTAACACTTGATATAAAAGATTATGCTATCAAACGGTTTTTATTTTTTTAGCAGATCAAAAGACAATAGGGTTATCTTTCTAAAATAGCCATTTACATGAGGGGGTCCGTGTTTTTCTTTGTTTGTCCCATTACTATTTTTCACCATTTCGGAGTCAAATATCAAAAGGGCTTCAGTTAAATTAAATATGTAAAAAATACACCACAAATTTACAATTTTCCACTTTGTTGCATAACATTTTCACTATATTGAACATTATAAAGTTGAACAACAAAATGAACTTGATACAATTAAAATGGTGTCACACTGACGATTTTCGTGATGCGCAAGAAATACACAGAAATACACATTTTCAAAATGGTCGCCAAATTGTTCAATTTTTAAAATTCCTGTGAAAGAAGTTCTACAAACATCTAATATCTAGATTTTTGACACATTTTTCAGATGCAAGTTTGCTATTAAAATTGATCATACTTTGTTAAATATTACAAATACATATATGTAGCCCTTATTCGAGATCTAAACGAGACTTGCACGTGATTGAAACCTCAGAAGAGTACATCCTTAAGTAAGCAGTCAGTGGAACTGCGTCCCTTTCGAACAAGATTGAGACTCATTTGTTTTGATTCATAAATGAAAACAACCTTTTTCAAAACTGTGCATTGGAAACATTTTTGGGCATGACTATAATTCAATAAATCAAGTCTAAAAAGAAAGCCATACCTTTCGGAATATTAATGATTTACGATTATTATGATTCGAACACTGAACCGCCGATCATTATGCTGCCGTTCGTATCAACTAAGGAAGTACATGAGTCCAGTTGCGCAATATTAACAACCCTAACAAAGTGGAGGAAATTTGTCGCATGAAAAAAGTAAATTTGAATACTACATGAGTTTACCTGTGGACGGACAGGGGTCATTACATGCCGCTATATTTATTGTTGTTATATCAATATGAACATAAGTGTGTTTATTGTTTTTTTTAACACTGAAAAGAAAAGCATGTACTGACATAATCAGGATAGTTTAAAATGACAACGCGATAGGAATGCACAGTACTGTTATTATAAAGGGGACTACGCTTATTCTGAAAATTCCTCTCAATAAAATTTGTTCAGAAGTTTTGGAAGGACAACAACTCTAATTCGGATCAAATGTGGTTTTTTTTTTTATGCGAGTCTGTATTGGTGTGTTTGGTTTTTATTTTTTTTCATATGAACATCTAACTAACCAATTTCAGACTTTTTTAACTTTATAAATAAAATATGTTTTGGATTGATAAACAATTCTTCCATTTTTGTATAAAAAATAAATACATAGGAAGGTTAAAAAATGTGTTTTCCCAAATTACCATAGTATGGCATTTTAACGAATCTGCTGGTTAATGGTGAAAGGATGGAGTCTCCTTAATA